AGCAATATATTAAATATGAAACTTGGTTACTGTTCCCGAAAGTGGAAACCTCCTTCATCTCGCACTATTGCCCGCGAGAGCGAAGTAACCTGTGAGTATGCAGCCTCAGAAGTCACTAGCAGAACCAAAAACTTACGTTCTGGTCAGGGCGATGGCGGAATCAAGGACCTCTGAAACGTCGGTAAACTTCTACCAGGCTACAAGGCCTCTTTCATTCCAAAATTTAGTTCAATGCCACTATTTTTCATTTTCCATTAATGCGTTAGTTTCCAGTTCACAAAGGTGACTTACACCAAAGCAGCTACCACCAAACTCAATAATTCAAGGTCACACAAAAATCGTATAGCATTTCAACACAAACGCGGTAAACCCAAGTGATTGAAGACACCTCAGAACTCGCAGCGTATCAATGGTAGCAACGCTGTACTGGTGGTTGAGGGGCGAAGCACCTCCATGGTCTTGAAACGCGTAATTTGGTGACGGATGCTATTTCGCGAGGTCAGATTTGTTTTGTGAACATCCTTTACCGCAGATCTCAGTATACATCCTCATTAATACTGCTCTGTAACTTTTTAACCCGAACAAAACGTTCCAAGCACAGAAAAAAGCTCGATGCCATACTTTCACACACTGATAGACTGAAGAAAACAACAGACTATTAACCGTGACAGCCCTAACAAACATGTACGCGCGCGTTGTACGAGGTGCGATCGGAAAGTTTCCAGACTGTGTCAATAGAGGGCGAACCGGATGAGTACGAGCTTCTGCCGCTAGGGGGTGCGGCCTACATTCATAGTGAATCAGTGTGCCAGCAGGCATCATCGAATTAGCATTTGTTTCTTAGTTACGGGCGTTTTGGTAGTGCATTACACCGACCCTCCTGCGATTTCGGAATGGCGTGTGCATCAAATTTTGCCAAAGACTCGCCAAAACGGCTACGGAAACCTATGAAATGCTAAAGCAAGCATTTGGGGAGTCCGCAAACTTTGGTGTGGCATTCACGTTTTAAAAATGACCGAACCTCTGTCGATGATG